TGACATTCAAAAACAAAACAAAAAACAAATCAGTGACCAATATAGCCACCTTTCTTTGCAAGGACACTCAAAAGCCTGCCATCCATGGATTCTGTCAGTGTTTTGATCTGTTCACCATCAACATTGCGTGCAGCAGCAACCACAGCCTCCCAGACACTGTTCAGAGAGGTGTACTGTTTTCCCTCCCTGTAAATCTCACATTTGATGATGGACCACAGGTTCTCAATGGGGTTCAGATCAGGTGAACAAGGAGGCCATGTCATTAGATTTTCTTCTTTTATACCCTTTCTTGCCAGCCACACTGTGGAGTACTTGGACGCGTGTGATGGAGCATTGTCCTGCATGAAAATCATGTTTTTTCTTGAAGGATGCAGACTTCTTCCTGTACCACTGCTTGAAGAAGGTGTCTTCCAGGAACTGGCAGTAGGACTGGGAGTTCAGCTTGACTCCATCCTCAACCCGAAAAGGCCCCACAAGCTCATCTTTGATGATACCAGCCCAAACCAGTACTCCACCTCCACCTTGCTGGCGCCTGAGTCGGACTGGAGCTCTCTGCCCTTTACCAATCCAGCCACGGGCCCATCCATCTGGCCCATCAAGACTCACTCATTTCATCAGTCCATAAAACCTTAGAAAAATCAGTCTTGAGATATTTCTTGGCCCAGTCTTGACGTTTCAGCTTGTGTGTCTTGTTCAGTGGTGGTCGTCTTTCAGCCTCTTACCTTGGCCATGTCTCTGAGTATTGCACACCTTGTGCTTTTGGGCACTCCAGTGATGTTGCAGCTCTGAAATATGGCCAAACTGGTGGCAAGTGGCATCGCGGCAGCTGCACGCTTGACTTTTCTCAGTTCATGGGCAGTTATTTTGCGCCTTGGTTTTTCCACACGCTTCTTGCGACCCTGTTGACTATTTTGAATGAAACGCTGGATTGTTCGATGATCACGCTTCAGAAGCTTTGCAATTTTAAGAGTGCTGCATCCCTCTGCAAGATATCTCACTATTTTTGACTTTTCTGAGCCTGTCAAGTCCTTCTTTTGACCCATTTTGCCAAAGGAAAGGAAGTTGCCTAATAATTATGTACACCTGATATAGGGTGTTGATGTCATTAGACCACACCCCTTCTCATTACAGAAATGCACATCACCTAATATGCTTAATTGGTAGTAGGCTTTCGAGCCTATACAGCTTGGAGTAAGACAACATGCATAAAGAGGATGATGTGGTCAAAATACTCATTTGCCTAATAATTCTGCACTCCCTGTATAGTTGGAATTTTCATAGATGGTCATATGTCTGATTTTGTGGCATTATAGCCATTTGACTGTTCAAATAATCACACAAGGGCCTTCCATTTGAGAAAGCAGACACCCCAGTGTATCTTATTAGGCATATATTGTACCTTAACTTGCCACCATTTTCTCACAATTTATTTCCAATTTGTGGTGAGTAAAAAAAAACAAACTTTTTTTACTTACATGTTGCATTTTTGCTGCATATTTCGTACATTTGATAAGTGCCACTGTCATAAATTCCCCCTAAGAATGCTCAGTTACCTCTTTTGAGTAAAACAATATGCCCAATGTATGACCTAGACACTATTTTGTGAAGTTACAGTGCTGTCAAAGAGACGTGATAAGTTCAGGTTTTTAAGTGTGAATTTACATAGAGGGTTTTAATGAGTCCGTATTCTATTTTGAAATATGTTAGCAGGCTACTTTTTCCAACTACCCCAAAAAAGCATACTATTTCTTAAAGAAGACACCCAACGGTATTTCAAAAGGCAAATTTTGAACCTAAGCGTGGGATCATTTTTCTGCTAGCCGCTGAAGGGGCACATTTGAGACACAGCCATTTAAGTTTGAATTTTTATGCTGGGTCCATGCCCCACTTTGGTAAACATAACCTACTAAACAAATTCCAATTACTTCACAAAGGCATACCATTTCCTAAAAAAAGACACCCTAGGGTGTTTCAAAAAGCATATTTTAAACCTTAGCGCTAGCCTGTAACAAGTATAGAGGTAATTTTTTTTTTTAATTTCCTTTTTTAAACATTTACTTTACAAGTTTTTTGTAACTTTTTATTTTACAACTTTGTTTAAAAATTTTTACTTTTTAAAAGTTGTTTTTTTTTTTTTTTACTGTTAACCCTTAAAGGACCACTCTAGGCACCCAGACCACTTCAGCTTAATGAAGTGGTCTGGGTGCCAGGTCCTTCTAGGGTTAACCCATTTTTTCATAAACATAGCAGTTTCAGAGAAACTGCTATATTATGAATGGGTTAAGCCTTTCCCCTATTTCCTCTAGTGGCTGTCTCATTGACAGCTACTAGAGGCGCTATGCGTTTCCTCGAAAAATCACAGTGAGAGCACGCTAGCGTCTGAAAGCATTGTAAATGCTTTCCTATGAGACCGGCTGAATGCGCGCGCAGCTCTTGCCGCGCGTGCGCATTCAGCCGGCGGGGCGTAACGGAGGCGGAGAGGAGGAGGAGAGCTCTCCGCCCAGCGCTGGAAAAAGGTAAGTTATTAACCCTTTCCCCCTTCCAGAGCCGGGCAGGAGGGGGACCCTGAGGGTGGGGGCACCCTCAGGGCACTATAGTGCCAGGAAAACGAATATGTTTTCCTGGCACTATAGTGGTCCTTTAACTAGCCTTATAATAAACCCCCCAATCTCCCCACTAATTTCTATCCACCCTAGCTAAATAAATATTTTACAAATATTTAAATAACTAACTAAATAAATTTAACCCCTGGGGATTACAAAAAAATTAAAATGAACCCTCAGTGGTTAAAAGAAAAAAATTTAGATCACATTGAAATACTGTTATCTGTATTTTTTGAACACTGCGGTCAGAGCAATAACATGGGCTGTGAAAGTGAAACTGCTTGCTGTAGTGTGCCTCTAATACGCAGACACACTACAGACACATTAAAGAGACATTAGTCACCTGAACAACTTCAGCTTAACCCATTAAGGACCAAACTTCTGGAATAAAAGGGAATAATTTGTCCTTAAGGGGTTAATGAGGTTGTTCAGGTGAGATCTATAGCTCTCTGCAGCCTCTCATGTAAACACTGTATTTTCTGAGAAAATACAGTGTTTACATTGAAAGCTAGGAACACCTCCAGTTGCAGTCACTCAGAGTGGACTAGAGGGACTTCGGAGTTGATGGAGGCATAATATGCCTCAATCCACTCAGATCTGCTGTCAGCAGAGCACAGGGCAGCACTGTGATTCAGTATCTCCTCCCTCTGCATGCAGACACTGAACTTTCCTCATAGAGATTCATTGATTCAATTCATCTCTTTGAGGAGATGCTGATTGGCCAGGGCTGTGTTTGAATTGTGCTGGCTCTGCCCGATCTGCCTCTTTGTCAACCTCAGCCAATCCTATGGGGAAGCACTGTGATTGGATCAGGCTACCACATCAGCAGACTGCTTGTTTTTCTGAGTCTAACAGCATGCAGATTTAAAGCTTCAGGCTTGAATACAGTAAGATTTTTTACTATATTTATGGAGGCATGAGGGGTCCAGATGTTGGTGTTAACACTATAGGGTCAGGAATACATGTTTGTGTTCCTGACCCTATAGTGATCCGTTAAGATTTAGCCTAGGTAACTGATTAATTGATTTCATATTGCTCCTTGTGTTTGTATGATTGTAGAGACTGTCCTGGAGTGTTTGTGCTATCTGACTCTTGGAACTGCGCACCAATTTCTCTCTGGCTGACCATGCAATAACTATTTTGCAATTAAATCTGTTTGGAAAGTCCTGAAGGTGCAGTTCTGTAATAACCCTTTCAATAATTAGGGTGTTGCACAGAGAAGTGTGGTGAACATCCAGCAAACAAAAGAACTAAGAACTATGTAGAACCTGATATTGTCTTGTCAGCTATATTACTACCCTTAGCTATGTTATGGAACAAAGTTTATGGTGTCTAAACTCCTTGAAAGACTTATTCTATTTTACTTAACTATGCTGAACTAATTTGTTATTTGATTTTTATAGAGTTAGCCAGAGAGAGAGAGGAAGTGTTAGCTGACGCGGGGATGAATGTAGTATGTATCTTTCATGTATGTTGAGTGTGCCAAGAATGGATTCCCATGTTTTGAGGAAATGAGTGTGGATATGACTGGTTTTGACTGGACCGTTGGAAAAGGGACATGATTAGGAGACATAGGACGCAAGGTCCTAGTTGGAATTATTGTCAGAATTGCAAGCTAGAATATAGTTTATCTCAAGATTTAATATGTAAGTGGGCCTTTTCAATCAAGGGGATGACGTCTACACGGTCGTGGTTCCCACTCGGGGTTTCCCCAGATGTGCTTTTCCCTCAAATATGAGTTTTTTTTTTTTTTTACCTGGCCCCAGATCACCAGGTGGACTGGTAATCCTAAACCCTGGTCCACAGACAGAGGATAGGTATTATTCCCTCTTTGACTATATGCGTTCACGTTGAGAACGAAGGAGGGAAATTGTTGGGAATAATACACTTTGCCTATACTGACCCAAGGCTCAAGCTCCAGATGACAGGATGTTCAGTCTGTTTAACATTGGTTAACATGTCAGCTATTTGAAAGAATATACTCTATCTGTATCCAATGCTTAGTGAATATACCCCTAGACAATAAAGAGCTGGAGAACATCATGTAACAGGTGTTACATCCTGTGTGTTTCTCTCTGTTGGCCTTATTTCCTGTGTTTCTCTCTTTGATCATAACTGCATAGTAATGTTTAATTTAGAACTTAGTAGTAAATATCTTTAATACGTAGTGCGCATGCATATTAGTTTGACATGTGTAGTTATAGTGAAACTTAGCTTTGAGCAAGGTCCGAACATGAAGATACACCTGGAAGCCTGCTATAGGTTAAGATAAGATAGATTTTGTTAGGATTGGATAATGCTTGTAACGACCACCCCTGTTTCCTGCTGTATATAACCAGTTACACGGCTTATTAAACGCTCAGAAGTCGCTTTGAACCTGGCATTGTCTTGTCTCACTTATTAGGGCTCCTCACCAGCTGGTTTGGGGACAAGGAGAAATACAGAGAGTTCCAAATTGCTTAGAAGTCCATGGCATGACAAAGGAAAATTCCTGACGCAGGAAATCTTGACTTACAAACGCCAAGGAGGACTTTTGACTGAACTACATAGAATGTGACGGCAGATAAGAACCATTCGGCCCATCTAGTCTGCCCAATTTTCTAAATACTTTCATTAGTCTCTAGCCTTATCTTATAGTTAGGATAGCCTTATGCCTATCCCACGCATGCTTAAACTCCTTTACTGTGTTAACCTCTACCACTTCAGCTGGAAGGCTATTCCATGCATCCACTACCCTCTCAGTAAAGTAATACTTCCTGATATTATTTTAAACCTTTGTCCCTCTAATTTAAGACTATGTCCTCTTGTTGTGGTAGTTTTTCTTCTTTTAAATATAGTCTCCTCCTTTACTGTGTTGATTCCCTTTATGTATTTAAATGTTTCTATCATATCCCCCCTGTCTCGTCTTTCCTCCAAGCTACACTAGAGCATCACCTCAAATGCGTATAGAAAAAAAACCCCAAACATTCTTTAATTCCTCTGGGACTTTTTAAGTATATTCAAGTTATTTCTATCACAATTTGGTTTTACTAGAGAGATAAACACCCCCCCACTTATTTCAATTTATTCTTGACACAAATCTGTTTTTTACATAGATTACTGCTGTATCAGATCCTCCCACATAGAATAGTATTTTCCAGTTACTTTTTAAAGTACAACAACCCCATCGCCACATGTACGTTATTTAGCAGCAGAGAGATAGACACCACTCCATGCTGTACATTGCTAAAATGTACTTTTTGTTTTATAAATCATTTGCAATAATATTGAATAAACCTTTTATTTAAAAAGAACAAAAAAAAAAAAAGAAAAGATGAGTCTATAATCACAGCAGTCCTTCAAACTATCATCCTGATTGCAGACAAGAATTATTATAAGGGGGAACGGAGACAAACATTTCCATCCACTGAGAGGAAAGACTAAAATGTTGCAGGTTGGAGATTCACTATTCCCAGTGAGGGTTATACTCCCGTCCCCTGAAGGAAAACCAGGTCGACATCTAACTGCTACGCAGATTCAACTAAACTGTAGAAAAGATGCTGAAACAAAAAACTGTTGCATCGATCGGTATCTACTCAGTGTCCAACTTGATTTGGTAGATTTAATCTCTTCATATTGAAAGGTACATCGTACACAAAATCAACTCCTCTCCTCCGAATCGCCATGAGAAGAGCGGATATGCCGACATGGAAGCCAACTCAGACGTCCAAGACCTGACCAGAGCAAAGGAGGAGAAATTAGCTTTGCAAATGGAACGAACACTTCATTTGGAATCAAACTATTTGGCAGCTTTTCCATTCCCTTAAAGGTAAAGGATCACTATAGGGTCAGTGTTAACCTGACCATCGAGAAGCTCTCTGGAATTTTTTCCATACTGTCTAGGTTACCCTGATTTATGAATTGTATATACATCTTTTACCCTTACGAGTTGTATACTCTAGTCTGGAAGTGTACCTATGTTATTTTAAGTGTTATGTTTTATGATATTATTGTGAGTTATAGTGCCTTTTTTGAGACACATTTATAAAACATTATTGAAATCTTTTCATCAACTCAAACTCATGTTTCCCCTTTTTTGTTGGATACCTAAAAAGTTTCTAGCATTTAGGCAATATTGCCCATACTGACGCTAGAACACTTCCTGTATTGGGAAGAGGTGATCGTCATACGTGTGTGATGACGCACGCACGCGACCGGAAGTTGATGCCAGCAACCATGTTACCTGGAAATGAACGGAGCATTCACCACAACCCGGAATTGGAAAGAAAACATGCCACGAAATTTCAACTTCGGGTGACTATAAAAGGAAAGAAGACGCTAGCTTTGATTTATCCTGCACTGAGGAAGACTACTGGTAGTCGAAACGTGTTTGCACTTGGACTTTTAATTCCTGCGGTAGTGTATTATACACATACTACTTATTTATGTCCTATTTTTATTGTTTTAATAAACTGTTATACTGCAAGATCCTGTTTTGGAGTACTTTTGTAGCCAGTTATTGGCACCACTATGCTGATCATACAGAGCCTGGTACGGCTCTGTGCTTGTGAGTTGACATCTCACATTTCTACCTATTGTAATATTAGTATACAGATTACACTATTTACGGCAATGTCTATTTCTTATAGATTTCTCAAGAAAGAATTGCACTGGTATCATTAGATGCAATTATTGGGAAGTATACCCTTAAAGTGTCACATTGGGTGTTGTATCTGTGTGGTCATTGTATTATCACTTATATTTGTGATTTATAACAAGTGGGATGTAGTTGCCCATTTGTCACAGGACAGGTAGCATAGAAAAGGTTAAAACAACCCCCAGTCTCCTCCCCTCCCAGCCTTATAAAGGGCTCCCCAGTATATAACAAGCTGATAGAAGGATATAGGTTTACATCTATAGTATAAAGGGAGGGAAATCCTGACTGCCGCTTGCACTATGGAAAAATAAATTTACGGTGAGTAAAATGTAGGTTTTTCCAGGCGTCCAAGCGGCAGTCATAACAAGCGGAATGATATAGCAAGATAAAAACACAGGGCGCGATTTCACCTAGAGCACCCACCCTACAGGAGCCTGTGGATTATGGCTCCTGAATCACAAAGTACACCACCCCCAGCTGATGGGACTGCCTACTGGAGTAATTCTGAAACAACACCAGTATTAAACTGTAAGTTAGAACCCGATTCGTATCTGCGGGGTAAGAAAATACACACAGTTAGTAATCAGCTCTTCCAGAGCGCAAAGCCAAATGTGACATACAACACTTTTCATTTAAATATCCAAATAAATGGAAATAAACAGTTATAGAGACATTAGGCAAGATTTGGAGGAATCTTATACTCTCTCCAGCTTTCAGAATAGAGAAAGGGGGATTGCTCATTATCCATATATTCACTGGTGGCATTTAACGGGTTTGGTTTAGTGTATTTTGGCACTTATAAAAACCTATAAATATATATTTGCCATAGGGTGAAGAATATATCCCAATACATACAAAATCCAAACAGAAAACAGGAAAAAAAACAGATATAAATCCTTATCTGTGATTAACATGCAGGCTAATAAGACAAATGATTAACAACTAATTCTACCCTTAGCGTGGCCAGGCTCACAACTAGCCATTGTAGAGATACTTTCAACATATGGAGAAAATCCCATGGATAAATGTAGGAAGAGAAAAATGAAACCTACAAAGGGCCCCCTAATATAAAAGGTAAGAACACAGATATACGTAATGAATAGACCCAAAAGTGGATTGGGAGTTTGTGGTTACAAAATAGGATGAGAGGGAATAAATGCATTTGGAGGCGTTAAACTCTGGAAGAATTTTGCAGATCCTAATTTTAGAGTTAAGTGTAATAACGTAACGTAGCAAGCTTATTACAGTACTGATAAAAATGTACGCAGTACACTGAATACCATACACTACTATAGAAAAGAAAGAGATAGACTCTAAGACAGCCTAGTGCACAAGTACCAGAACCCTTGCTCTTCACCTGACCCGAATTGGACAAATCACAAACCGGTCTCTCTCAAAGACAGGCAAATACTGGGGGAGCTCGGGGTGGAGATACCATTTATAAAGCTAGAAGGGGAGGAGAGTGGGGACTGCATTTTTTGGTTTTAACCTTTTCTATGCTACCTGTCCTGTGACAAATGGACAACTACATCTCACTTGTTATGACTGCCACTAGGACCTACTGGAAAAAATAAATAATATCGGTCTAACTAAAAATGTACATATAAATAAATAAATAAAAGAAAATACAAAAAACAAACAAACCCACTTTGGCACCTTTATTGCTATGACTAGAATGTCACGGTTAGAAAAGCTTGTCTCTATAGCATTACACAAACTGCAGAGCAATACAGTAAAAAGAAGACGTCTAATCAACTGAAAACTGCAGTGCAAAATTCTAAACAAAATAAAGGATTTGGAAACAATGCTATCGTTACAGCTTGGCTCATTCAGGTTTAGTGTTTACTATTGAATAAGATCCACTCAGTCTGAGCATCATAGGAGATCAGACTGACAATAGAGAAACAAGGAGACTAATAAAAACGAAATGCAGCCAAGTAATAAATAGAATTCATTTTCCTAAATGGTGCCAATAAGACAATGGTTAAAATAAACCAATCCACAAACCCTGAACACACTCCAATTCAATGTTTACAGCAGAACAGCGGGCATTTCAGGTTTAATAGAGAAGAAACTGCAATATAATATCGCACCAGGAAGGGAACTCATACATGTAATGGGGAGAAACCTGTTTTAGTGCAGAGGCTGATCCGGAACAATGTTCATGGAAATGTAGATTTCTTTCAGAATTAAAAGCGCTGTGTCTTCAGATTCCCTGAAATAAAGCAAAGCAGACATGGTATAGTGAGAAAGACAACTAAGCATCACATCGCAAGAATGGAATCAGCTGTGCATAGCGAGGGCATCAGACACTGAGCGAACTTTACCAGAGCGGAACTGACAGCAGCCGTCAATGCTGGGAGCATCAGACACCGAGCTACGTTTTCTGGAGCATAACTTACAGCAGCCGTCAATGCTGGGAGCATCAGACACCGAGCTACGTTTTCTGGAGCGTAACTTACAGCAGCCGTCAATGCTGGGAGCATCAGACACTGAGCTAACTTTACCAGTGCGTAACTGACAGCAGTCGTCAATGCTGGGAGCATCAGACACTGAGCTGCGTTTTCTGGAGCGTAACTGACAACAGCCATCAATGCTGGGAGCATCAGACACTGAGCTACGTTTTCTGGAGCATAACTGACAGCAGCCGTCAATGCTGGGAGCATCAGACACCGAGCTACGTTTTCTGGAGCATAACTTACAGCAGTCATCAATGCTGGGAGCATCAGACACTGAGCTACATTTTCTGGAGCGTAACTTACAGCAGCCGTCAATGCTGGGAGCATCAGACACTGAGCTAACTTTACCAGTGCGTAACTGACAGCAGTCGTCAATGCTGGGAGCATCAGACACTGAGCTATGTTTTCTAGAGCGTAACTGACAACAGCCATCAATGCTGGGAGCATCAGACACTGAGCTAACTTTACCAGAGCGTAACTGACAGCAGCCGTCAATGCTGGGAGCATCAGACACTGAGCTGCGTTTTCTGGAGCATAACTTACAGCAGCCGTCAATGCTGGGAGCATCAGACACTGAGCTAACTTTACCAGAGCGTAACTGACAACAGCCATCAATGCTGGGAGCATCAGACACTGAGCTAACTTTACCAGTGCGTAACTGACAGCAGTCGTCAATGCTGGGAGCATCAGACACTGAGCTACGTTTTCTGGAGCATAACTTACAGCAGCCGTCAATGCTGGGAGCATCAGACACTGAGCTACGTTTTCTGGAGCGTAACTTACAGCAGCCGTCAATGCTGGGAGCATCAGACACTGAGCTAACTTTACCAGAGCGTAACTGACAGCAGCCGTCAATGCTGGGAGCATCAGACACTGAGCGAACTTTACCAGAGCGGAACTGACAGCAGCCGTCAATGCTGGGAGCATCAGACACTGAGCTATGTTTTCTAGAGCGTAACTTACAGCAGCCGTCATTGCTGGGAGCATCAGACACCGAGCTACATTTTCTGGAGCGTAACTGACAGCAGCCATCAATGCTGGGAGCATCAGACACCGAGCTATGTTTTCTAGAGCGGAACTGACAGCAGCCGTCAATGCTGGGAGCATCAGACACTGAGCTACGTTTTCTGGAGCGTAACTTACAGCAGCCGTCAATGCTGGGAGCATCAGACACTGAGCTACGTTTTCTGGAGCATAACTGACAGCAGCCGTCAATGCTGGGAGCATCAGACACCGAGCTACGTTTTCTGGAGCATAACTTACAGCAGTCATCAATGCTGGGAGCATCAGACACTGAGCTACATTTTCTGGTGCGTAACTGACAGCAGCCGTCAATGCTGGGAGCATCAGACACTGAGCGAACTTTACCAGAGCGGAACTGACAGCAGCCGTCAATGCTGGGAGCATCAGACACTGAGCTATGTTTTCTAGAGCGTAACTTACAGCAGCCGTCATTGCTGGGAGCATCAGACACCGAGCTACATTTTCTGGAGCGTAACTGACAGCAGCCATCAATGCTGGGAGCATCAGACACCGAGCTATGTTTTCTAGAGCGGAACTGACAGCAGCCGTCAATGCTGGGAGCATCAGACACTGAGCTACGTTTTCTGGAGCGTAACTTACAGCAGCCGTCAATGCTGGGAGCATCAGACACTGAGCTACGTTTTCTGGAGCATAACTGACAGCAGCCGTCAATGCTGGGAGCATCAGACACCGAGCTACGTTTTCTGGAGCATAACTTACAGCAGCAGGAGCATCAGACACTGAGCTAGTTTTCTCGTAACTTACAGCAGCCGCCAATGCTGGGAGCATCAGACACTGAGCTAACTTTTACCAGAGCGAACTGACAGCAGCCGTCAATGCTGGGAGCATCAGACACCGACATGTTTCTAGAGCGCAGACAGCAGTCAATGCTGGGAGCATCAGACACTGAGCTAACTTTACCAGAGCGTAACTGACAGCAGTCATCAATGCTGGGAGCATCAGACACTGAGCTATGCTAGAGTTGACAGCAGCCACAATGCTGGAGCATCAGGAGCACGCCTAACTTACAGCAGCCGTCAATGCTGGGAGCATCAGACACTGAGCTAACTTTACCAGAGCCGCAACTGACAGCAGCCGCCACGCTGGGAGCATCAGACACTGAGCCACTTGAGCCGTAACTGACAGCAGCCGTCAATGCTGGGAGCATCAGACACTGAGCTAACTTTACCAGAGCGGAACTGACAGCAGCCGTCAATGCTGGGAGCATCAGACACTGAGCTATGTTTTCTAGAGCGTAACTGACAGCAGCCGTCAATGCTGGGAGCATCAGACACTGAGCTACGTTTTCTGGAGCATAACTGACAGCAGCCGTCAATGCTGGGAGCATCAGACACCGAGCTACGTTTTCTGGAGCATAACTTACAGCAGTCATCAATGCTGGGAGCATCAGACACTGAGCTACATTTTCTGGTGCGTAACTGACAGCAGCCGTCAATGCTTGGAGCATCAGACACTGAGCTAACTTTACCAGAGCGTAACTGACAGCAGCCGTCAATGCTGGGAGCATCAGACACTGAGCTATGTTTTCTAGAGCGTAACTTACAGCAGCCGTCATTGCTGGGAGCATCAGACACTGAGCTACATTTTCTGGAGCGTAACTGACAGCAGCCATCAATGCTGGGAGCATCAGACACCGAGCTACGTTTTCTGGAGCGTAACTGACAACAGCCATCAATGCTGGGAGCATCAGACACTGAGCTAACTTTACCAGAGCGTAACTGACAGCAGCTGTCAATGCTGGGAGCATCAGACACTGAGCTATGTTTTCTAGAGCGTAACTTACAGCAGCCGTCATTGCTGGGAGCATCAGACACTGAGCTATGTTTTCTAGAGCGTAACTTACAGCAGCCGCCAATGCTGGGAGCATCAGACTCAAAATTTAGTTTCAGCTGGTTTGCCAAAATCCAATTCCTTTTAATACCCGCCCAATTGAATTGATCTGCCCAGGATTCACTAGAGTTTCAATCAATGAATAAGAATACTCAGGTAAATCCCAGACATATCAATTAGTTGGGGTGTGGATTAAAAGAAATTAAATTCGGACAAATCGGCTCAAATAAGTTTTTGCACAATTCTATTATAAAATAGTTCAGTGACTCATCAATTAAAACACTGTTAGTGGTTGTAGTAAAATGACAAACTCACCTTATGTCCTACGCCAAGCCCAAGTTCACCCTACAGTCCAATCCTCCTCCAGTGACGGCTCTCCACCTTACTGACCGCGCTGGAGGTCAGGCTGAGGGGAAGCTCTGTTGCCAGTATGCTGTGCACCGATGGACGATAGACACCCAATATGAACAGAACAGAACTCTCGTTCCATGCCGACTAATCATGTGGTCGGGAACGTACATTATCGCTGTGATTTTAAGTCCTAACCCAGAGATAAAGAACCCTTTAGCCAGAGGGAGGAATTGCTTTATTTAAATCCTAATGTTTTCAACACTTTTTTTCCGGCTAATTTTAGTTTAAAGTCTTCCCATAACACCCAAATAAGTTATCCAATCGAGAAGAGTCTTAACTCATTAGATGATTTATTTTTAAGCTAGGTGAGGGGGTAAAATCTGACAAGTTCTGTTCTTTCAGTAAACACTTTGTACGACGACACCGTTATGGGAGTTGGAATTTCTGAATCCATCTGTTTTCAACATAATACTAAACTCACCAGTAACAGAGATGACTCTGCAGAGCAAACAGATACTCATTGAAACTCTCAATGGGCTTCTCTTGCAGGACATAGTCAATACGGCGGCCACCGTTTAACATCCCAACCTTGACAGACAGTTCTTCCTCCCGGAATGGTTCAGGACTTTCTAACTTCTCAGCTGCAATGCAGTAAAAATACACATTTACCAAATATGAAAAACTATCTGCGCAACATTGCCCTGCAATATTCAATGATTGTAAACTATCCATGGATGGCCACAGATAAGTCATGCACCTTCCACCTCCTGCTGCTTGGCTTCTTCTTCTTGGATCTGGTCTGCCACCTTCTCCAGTTCTGCCTGAAGCTGTGCCGAGGACGTATGAGCTCTCGCAAAGTCATTTAGTGTCTGCCAGGCGGAGCGGAGGGAGCTGATGAAGCCCTGCTTTAAATCGGAGCCCATTCGAGTCAGGCTTTCCTTCAGCTCTGAGGAAATAAAATTTGGGTGAAGCTACGGAAAGGCAGGCAGTGTTGAGCACCCAATGGGGCTATATTGTGATGCCGCTTTCTACATTTAACTCAAACTATATATTGTGTTAATGTTGCTTGTGAAAAATGACATTTTACCATAATGTCGAGAATTAGAAGCTTTCCATGTTGGAGGTCCAGGCATGCAGACCAGAAGCTCCCTTGACAAAGCCCCCACTGAAAATGATGGGTGTTAGTACAGTCCTTACCGAGATGCAATCTCTTTCTGCCTTTGTGATGTGGAATAAGAACCGGCTTTAGATCAACATCTGGAATGATCATAGGCTCAAGTCTGTAGGCTACAGGATCCAGCTGGAAAACAAAGGATAGGAGGTTGAATGCCGCAGCCAGGAACCAGAGATTTAAAAGGAATGTCTACAGTATTTTCATTTCATATTGCCAACAGAAAAAGAGGTAATTCACACTTCATATAATGCTTCCTGGGAATTGTATATTTACAAATTCTGTTCCAATTCAAGATCATTGTTTGTTTGACTCCCTAAGCATTAAACAGCTGATCTAAACCATGGCATCATTCCTGTAACCCGTTACAGCGACTCTCCAAAGAACAGCTTATCTAAACCATGGCATCATTCCTGTAACCCGTTACAGCGACTCTCCAAAGAACAGCTGATCTAAATCATGGCATCATTCCTGTAACCCGTTACAGCGACTCTCCAAAGAACAGCTGATCTAAATCATGGCATCATTCCCTAACTCGTTACAGCGACTCTCCAAAGAACAGTTGATCTAAAGCATGGCATCATTCCTGTAACCCGTTACAGCGACTCTCCAAAGAACAGCTGATCTAAATCATGGCATCATTCCTGTAACCCGTTACAGCGACTCTCCAAAGAACAGCTAATCTAAATCATGGCATCATTCCCTAACTCGTTACAGCGACTCTCCAAAGAACAGCTGATCTAAATCATGGCATCATTCCTGTAACCCGTTACAGCGACTCTCCAAAGAACAGCTGATCTAAATCATGGCATCATTCCCTAACTCGTTACAGCGACTCTCCAAAGAACAGTTGATCTAAAGCATGGCATCATTCCTGTAACCCGTTACAGCGACTCTCCAAAGAACAGCTGATCTAAATCATGGCATCATTCCTGGAACCCGTTACGGCGACTCTCCAAAGAACAGCTGATCTAACCTACGGCATATTGCCCATCTCTCACATACTGTTACTGTGCTGAAAAGATAGAAGTGTAGATTGTCTCTTCATTTCCAGCCTTGCTCCTTACGGACGTGTGTTTCTTTTACGAAGTACCATTTTTTTTTTTTACCACATATCCTATAAGTGGTAAAAAGTTTCTACATTCTCAGACTCCACTGTACTGAATTGTGCCATTAATTGCCACTGATCCAACTTAATTCTAGGAATGGATAAAATAATGACTTCAGACATTAGATAATGTCATCAGCCAGGTCAGAAATAGCTCACCCAAATTCTCACCCATGTCAATATATAAGGAGTGTTCCAGTTCGATGACAAGTATGTAATTCTTTTTCCCCTACAACTTTCATTGAAAAACTCCAAACATATATTTCTCTACAATGAAGGACAGGCTATATTGCATGTGAAATCTTTCATTTTTAGACTTTTAAGGAACACTATAGGGTCAGGAACACAAACATGTATTCCTGAACCTTTAGTGCTAAACCCAACATTTAGGTCACTTGCCCCCCACTTAGCCTCCTTTAAAGCAATGAAAACACTTTATTTCCAGCATAAGAAAAGATGAAAGAAATGTGTCCACAGCTTGCCAAGCAGTACATTAACTATCCCCATTCTTATCACAAGAGCTGATCTTTTTCGGCCTCACCGGATGGTAAATATTGAAGAAGCCCTTGCAGGTTGGTAGCCGGTAATTTTCATTGATCTTATCCAGGCCGCGTACAGTCAGGAACATGCCGATGGGAGACCCAAGTGCAAAGAAGTTTGTTGGCTCAAAATCCAACAGGTTATATCTAACAAACAACTAGTGAGAAAAAAAAAAAAAAGATTAAAGAAAGCCACAGCAGGTTTCTAAAGCAACTAATATACCCAAGCATGCCAGAGTCACCATAATGGGAGGTACATGGGCTTACACCAACACAATTCATCCAACTGCCATTCAGCTCTGCAGTAAATAAGAATAGGATTATATCATGAAGCAAGCATGGGAGCAATACCTGTCCGGTACCTATATCAAAGTACTGGTAGTCAACATGAACGGAGGAGACAGAAACACCAACAGGCAGCTTAGTTTTAGAGGAATCGGTGCTCTTAATGCCATCAGCCGAGCTGATCATGGCAGCGGTTTCCTCTTGGGCTTTAATCTGGGCATTCAGAGCAGCTCTGTGTTCCTCTGCAGCTTTCCTCTGTGCCTGAAACAAAGAAACAATAACATCTTGAGCAAAATATGGGTTTATCCTCATTAGCTACATCGCACAAGGATGTATGTCAGAATGCTTTCCAAACCAAGAGAGATGTGTCCAGTACATTCCAACATGGGCCAAACAGTCACCTGGACAACTCCAGCCTAATGTAGATGTTCTAGTGAGTATAGTCAGTCCCTGCAGGCCTTTTGCTGTAAACACTGTTTTTTCAGAGAAAATGAAGTGTTTACATTGCTGCTTAGGGAGACTTCCAATGCCAGTCATTCAGACAGCCACTAGAGGTGCTTCCTGGGACAGTACTGCACAACAAGCTAGCTCTGCATGGAGACGCTGAGCTTTCCCCATACAGTCCTATGAGGAGATGCTGATAAGCCAGAGAGGCATTTGGTTTTGCCCCCCGCCCCACCTCCTTGGCTGAGAGGCCGATAAATTTTGATGATCTCAGCCAAGGAGTTGTAACGGGGCGGAGCCAGACCAGGCGGACCCGCACGGCACCAGAATAAAGGGGAGTAAACTCACATTTACATTAGAGACGGGGGACGGAGGGGCTACATATTTATTTATTTTTATACAACAGTTTTCTTTTATGTTAACTAAAGGAACACTATAAACAGGAACATATTCAGATTTAGGATTTATTTAACAAATGCACGGAAACTAGATTAATACGCAAGCTAAAATATATAGATGCTTAGGGTTTTTTACAATAAAAATTAAATCTTTCAATACTGGTGAGACAGAACAGAAAAGGGGAAACAGGGATTGATATCCGAACATACCTGATTGGCAACTCTTGACTCCACATATTTGGCAATCTTCTTCCGAGGTCCTAGAGGGATTCCCATCTCTTTCAAATCATCAATTGTGCACATCAGCTGAGATGGAAGAAAAATGTTAATGAAATGCTATTTCCACGTTACTGGCAGACAAGGCGGAGACTCCCAGCTTTGCTCCAATAATGGAATAATGCACACTTCTCTAAAAATAAACATTTGTTCCAAAATACTAAAGAAAAGACAGACAAAAGCCAGAGAGAGTATTCTAAATGCAGCTACCAAGTAACAGTTTACAGTGCGCTCACAGAATACAAGAAGCGGTTACTTGCTGGATGTGGAGATACAGAAAATCTACAAGCTGCATCGGAAGGATTAACATTAATTACAAAATAAGAAAGCCTTTTAAATTAGACAAATGCAATATAAATAATATCTATTTTGGATAGGTTTGTAAATGATTGTTATAGATCTATAAAAGCAAATGCAGGATTTCAGCAGGCACAGCTGTATGGTAAGCCCTCAAATAAGGGATCTGCCAAATGCAATGCATACATTTTACAAGAAAAATATTCTAAAACAATTCCCAGAATATAACTTGTATAAAGTATAGAAAACATGGAAAAGTGGCCTTTCATTTTTTTTTTTTAAAGTAATGTAGAAACGGTCCTCTCTCACACAGACGTTATCCAAAATAACAATTAACACTTCAATCCGCACTTAGGGAATTTCTGAGACCTCCAAGTATGGAATAAAAAGGACACATACTACATTACTTAAAAGAACTGGGAGTGCATTATTGCATAGAAAGATAGAATGTGACGGCAGATAAGAACCATTCGGCCCATCTAGTCTGCCCAATATTTATAAATACTTTCATTAGTCCCTGGCCTTATCTTATAGTTAGGATAGCCTTATGCCTATCCCACGCATGTTTAAACTCCTTTACTGTGTTAACCTCTACCACTTCAGCTGGAAGGCTATTCCATGCATCCACTACCCTCTCAGTAAAGTAATACTTCCTGATATTATTTTTAAACTTTTGTCCCTCTAATTTAAGACTATGTCCTCTTGTTGTTGCATGCTGTACATTTTCTTAAGGTGGGAACTGAACAGTAAGTTTTGAAGCAACTTTTATTTATACACACATACATATAGTTATTTATAACGTTGTTAAAGACAGATCTGCACACCAGTCAATCCAATGTTTTGACAGAGACAGAGAGAGAGAGAGAGCGTTAATACAATGTTAAACAAAAATCTGAACACCAGTCAAGCCATAAGACTTGCTTTTCCCACAGAAGTTGTGTTTCAAAGCTGTTGTATACAGCAAACACAGACTTAAGTGAATCCATGTTTAAAATGGAATGAGGCAAAAATTTGAGTGTTAAACTAATTTGCATATGCCCACCCAGAATCCTTTGCGGTAGTAACATCACTGCAGATGTGTGATTTCTGTGGAAAAAGCAAGTCTTATGGCTTGACTGGTGTGCAGATTTTTGTTTAACATTGTATTAACTATCTACAGACTTAGGTTGAAGGGGTTTTCAATCACAATTGTTTCCCCCACCATAAACTTTTTATATATATTTATATTTTAATATATCAGCGTGACCATACCTTTCATTCAGCTACCTGTGCTTCATAAACCATGCAGAGTGACCATACCTTTCATTCAGCTACCTGTGCTCCCATACACCAGCAATCAGAGTGACCATACCTTTAATTCAGCTACCTGTGCTCCCATACACCAGGCAGAGTGACCATACCTTTCATTCCGCTACCTGTGCTTCATACACCAGGCAGAGTGACCATACCTTTCATTCCGCTACCTGTGCTTCATACACCATGCAGAGTGACCATACCTTTCATTCAGCTACCTGTGCACCCATACAGCAGGCAGAGTGACCATACCTTTCATTCCGCTACCTGTGCTCCCATACACCAGGCAGAGTGACCATACCTTTCATTCAGCTACCTGTGCTTCATACACCATGCAATCAGAGTGACCATACCTTTCATTCAGCTACCTGTGCTTCACACACCATGCAGAGTGACCATAGCTTTCATTCAGCTACCTGTGCTTCACACACCATGCAGAGTGACCATACCTTTCATTCGGCTACCTGTGCTTCATACACCAGCAATCAGAGTGACCATACCTTTCATTCAGCTACCTGTGCTTCACAAACCATGCAGAGTGACCATACCTTTCATTCCGCTACCTGTGCTTCATACACCATGCAGAGTGACCATACCTTTCATTCGGCTACCTGTGCTTCATACACCAGCAATCAGAGTGACCATACCTTTCATTCAGCTACCTGTGCTCCCATACACCAGGCAGAGTGACCATACCTTTAATTCCGCTACCTGTGCTTCATACACTATGCAGAGTGACCATACCTTTCATTCAGCTACCTGTGCTCCCATACAGCAGGCAGAGTGACCATACCTTTCATTCAGCTACCTGTGCTCCCATACACCAGGCAGAGTGACCATACCTTTCATTCAGCTACCTGTGCTTCATAAACCATGCAGAGTGACCATACCTTTCATTCAGCTACCTGTGCTCCCATACACCAGCAATCAGAGTGACCATACCTTTCATTCCGCTACCTGTGCTTCATACACCATGCAGAGTGACCATACCTTTCATTCAGCTACCTGTGCTCCCATACACCATGCAGAGTGACCATACCTTTCATTCAGCTACCTGTGCTCCCATACACCATGCAGAGTGACCATACCTTTCATTCAGCTACCTGTGCTTCATACACCATGCAGAGTGACCATACCTTTCATTCAGCAACCTGTGCTTCATACACTATGCAATCAATGTGACCATACCTTTCATTCAGCTACCTGTGCTTCATACACCATGCAGAGTGACCATACCTTTCATTCCGCTACCTGTGCTTCATACACCATGCAGAGTGACCATACCTTTCATTCAGCTACCTGTGCTTCATACACCATGCAGAGTGACCATATCTTTCATTCAGCAACCTGTGCTTCATACACTATGCAATCAATGTGACCATACCTTTCATTCAGCTACCTGTGCTTCATACACCAGGCAGAGTGACCATACCTTTCATTCCGCTACCTGTGCTTCACACACCATGCAGAGTGACCATACCTTTCATTCAGCTACCTGTGCTCCCATACACCAGGCAGAGTGACCATACCTTTCATTCAGCTACCTGTGCTTCATACACCATGCAGAGTGACTATACCTTTCATTCAGCAACCTGTGCTTCATACACTATGCAATCAATGTGACCATACCTTTCATTCAGCTACCTGTGCTTCATACACCATGCAGAGTGACCATACCTTTCATTCAGCTACCTGTGCTTCACACACCATGCAGAGTGACCATAGCTTTCATTCAGCTACCTGTGCTTCATACACCATGCAGAGAGACCATACCTTTCATTCAGCTACCTGTGCTTCATACACCATGCAGAGTGACCATACCCTTCATTCAGCAACCTGTGCTTCATACACCATGCAATCAATGTGACCATACCTTTCATTCCGCTACCTGTGCTCCCATACACCATGCAGAGTGACCATAGCTTTCATTCAGCTACCTGTGCTTCATACACCATGCAATCAATGTGACCATACCTTTCATTCGGCTACCTGTGCTTCATACACCAGCAATCAGAGTGACCATACCTTTCATTCAGCTACCTGTGCTCCCATACACCATGCAGAGTGACCATACCTTTCATTCAGCTACCTGTGCTTCATACACCATGCAGAGTGACTATACCTTTCATTCAGCAACCTGTGCTTCATACACTATGCAATCAATGTGACCATACCTTTCATTCAGCTACCTGTGCTTCATACACCATGCAGAGTGACCATACCTTTCATTCAGCTACCTGGCAGTAGCTTCATGCACCATTACCACAGGGTGACCATACCTTTCATTCAGCTACCACCTGTGCTCCACGCATACACCAGGCAGAGTGACCATGCAGCACTCATTCAGCTACCTGATAGCTGCATACAACAGCAATCAGGTGACCATACCTTTCATTCAGCTACCTGTGCTCCCATACACCAGGCAGAGTGACCATACCTTTAATTCCGCTACCTGTGCTTCATACACTATGCAGAGTGACCATACCTTTCATTCAGCTACCTGTGCTCCCATACAGCAGGCAGAGTGACCATACCTTTCATTCAGCTACCTGTGCTCCCATACACCAGGCAGAGTGACCATACCTTTCATTCAGCTACCTGTGCTTCATAAACCATGCAGAGTGACCATACCTTTCATTCAGCTACCTGTGCTCCCATACACCAGCAATCAGAGTGACCATACCTTTCATTCCGCTACCTGTGCTTCATACACCATGCAGAGTGACCATACCTTTCATTCAGCTACCTGTGCTCCCATACACCATGCAGAGTGACCATACCTTTCATTCA